CTGAGGCACGTCAAATGAAAAATGGTATGAGATGTGTGAACCACATGGTCAGAAAGGTTCACAGCTTGTGAATGCAGATTTCATTCATCCAAATGTTAGCAAAGAGCGTAGCACTAACATGAAATTAGCTTTTTACCAAGCTTCTTGATTTCAATGTAAAATTGGCATGTTACTTAACTCTATCCCAGCGTGAGACTCTGGGTTTTTTGTTGAAGGATTTTGTGTTGAATGCTCCTGTCAGAATGAGCTACATAGAAGTTAGCATCTGTGTAATAAATGCCAGTGATGGCTTTTAGGTGAACTCTTCTAAGTTCTATAAAAAGCCTCCGCACAGCCGGAAAAAACAATCATCAATGTCAAAGTTTATATTGCAAGTATGAGGCTTCTCTGCCAATTCAAAAGCCAATAAAGTGATATGTGTAAAGGACATAAAGTAAGACTCTGTATCACTTTTCAGAGACCTATAACTTAATGTTTGCTCCTCGTTTTTCAAATTGTTCTTGCAGCCCTTCAGTGAGAAGCGCATAAGAAGTGCTTGACAGGTAAATCATTTATATGCATTCAATAGCGATATTATAGCAATAGTGTAGGGCCAACTAAAAGAAATTATGAATAGTTTTATACTTACAAAGAATGTCAAAATTGCTGCCAAATCAAGTCCATTTTATCACATTGGTGGACTAGACTGGCAGTTCTTATATATTTGGCAGTAAACCAGTTAAGTTACACAAAATATTTTAGTTGTCAGAAGAGTGACTCATAGTTACTAAAAATAAATTAATTATATAAAGTGATTTTAAAACCTTTTATCTGTTAGTGTGTATGTATATATATATATATGTGTATGTATATATATATATATATATATATATATATGTGTGTGTGTGTGACCATTTATTGTCCGTCTGGGGTCCATAAATAGCCATTGTCTCAGTGGGAGAAATTCTGATTTGAACAGAATGCTCGTTGAAAAATCATGGCAAGCAATATGAGGCTACAGCGACTGGCCTTTTTTTTTTTTTTTTTTTACAGCTGCCTGGGTTCCAGAAGTATATTCATTTATTTTCTCCACAGGGATTTAAGCAGTTCTTCAGTATGGAGTAATTCAGGAAAGAGTTTTAAACCTTGAAACCAAAACAACCAGCTCTAAATGAATCACAACATTACGTGATTTGATTCTATAAAAGCTTTGGAAAATCAGACAAATACAAAGCTACAAGACTGCATCTTTTTATGAAGCAGCAAGCTATATCCCATAAAGCATTGCAAATTATGTAATCGAATCAGTAATGATGGTACGATATAAAACTATAGACTTTAACTCATAAGCACAAAAGTACAATATGTTAGAAGTTTGTTAAAAATATTGACATGTGTACTTCTCCTAAAGTGTTTACCATCGTTTAACATCCTCAGAGCTCATGGTTGTCTTCCTTGAAAGATTTGCACATTATTGCTAAAAATCCATTTCCCTATGGGGAAAATAAATGGGATTTTTTTCAACCTCTTCAACAAACACCCTCAATATGGTATCAAAAAGCAGCTTTTTTCATTTATGCGTGGGCATTTTCTGTGTGCTTTTTGTTTGCACATTTTGTGTGCATATGACCAGGATTTAATCTGTCATATCCAATTTATTCAGTCTTTTCTATGGTCTCTCTTCTGCTTTATGGTGATAAACAGGTGGTACAAGGGCCATAGTGTTCCCATGGGAATGTAGGTTCAAGTCCAGACTGTCATGTCTTGATTGCACACCCTTTGTTTGCCCCTTCAATGTCCTGTCTACCTTCACAACCATTTAATATAAAAGGCTCAAAAACATATATATACATTCATGCTTATATGTATTATGGTATATAATACCAGCACTGTATAACCCTATATAAATGAGATTTTATATAGGAAGGACAAACATAGCCCTTCCTTTCGGCACAATACATAAATCACCCAAGTAGTGTGAAAATGCACATACGGATTATCTGTCATCATCGAATTTACATATTGACAAAGTGGAGCCGTAGCCATATTCGTTCATAATCTGAACCTAATGATGTTTTGGTTGGGCTGCGTTAGTCCAGGGTTAAAGGGAACCACCCTGACCTCACCTTGGACCCCTCGCTGTCACAGTCGCCCTACGAGTGACTGATGCAGGACTAAAGGACCTACTTGTTTATGTTCAATGGAGAGCTTTCTCTCCCGTCTCCCTGTTTATTTATGAGCCCCTCTCATCCAGCCTGAGCGAGGGGAGATAAATCTGTCACACTCAGATCTACTACCGCTACAACCCACCCGTGCACACCAGCTTACTCTCACCCTCTCCTTTAGTTAGGTTTAGTTAGAGTACATGAAGACGGCGTACCAACATTTGTTTGCCTTGTTTTTATCAGAGGGTTTTGAAATGGGGCGCAACGGGGCTAAAAGCCCCCTTAAGGAATTTGTTTTGCTAAATTAAAGTGCCAAACATTCTATTCTATTCTATTCTATTCTATTATTTAAAATAAGATTTTATAATATTTTTTAAATATTTATTTATTTCTATTATACGTTGGAACCAGGAGGAATTATCTTTATTATTATTATTACTTCTATTATTATTGATATTTTAGTATTATTTAATGTTTTGTTTGAAAAAATAAAACAAATAAAAAACTGCAAATGTTTTATAGTAACAGACTGTAAGTTTTGCTTTGCAATCTTGTTGAAGGTTCCATGACAGACATCCATTGGCTGTCTGCGTACAGCAGACACTATGCTTACAGTCAGCTGAGCATTGCTTTATTTTATTTATTTTTTTTCCCCCCTAAAACATAGTTTATATAGGATACAAGATTTATGTGTTTGAAGTTCAGAGTGATCGGTGGGTCTGGAAACAGTGACTCATCTTCTTGTCATAACTTGTCATGCTGCTCATATTTTTGGATGAAGCTACATTAAAGGCCTTCTGTTTGATCATCTGTCTGTTTAGAAAGCCACCGGAAGTGCTGTCACTCAAAGCATTCACACCATTGAGCACCTGTTACAAATATTTGCAAACATATTTTAATGGAAGTTGGACATTTTTGGAAATCCATTTATATTTTTATGTATTTATTAGCTGCAATGATGATGCAATGTAGCAAGAATTGGGGCTGTTTATGTTTCTAAA